GGGTCCGGCCGTGGCTTGCGCCTGCGCCGTCCTGCGCGTGTCAGCCTGGCCGCCCTGGGCGCAGCCCGTGCCGGGGCTGGTCTGGGGCAGGTCCCAGCCGAGCTGCCTGCTGCCCGAAGCCGTCCTGCGCCGCCTGCCACTTCCTGGGTGCCTCGGGTCCTGGCGGGCGCCGCGCGCCCTGGGCTGGCGGCGGAGATGCTGGGCCTGGGCTTTGGCCAGGCGGTGGCTTTGATCGCCCCCTGAGCTCTTCCTGCTTCGGGGCTGTGCGGTTCTTTTCAGGGGCAGCCGGAGGGTCGGGGTGTGTGTCTGCTATCGTCCTGGGCAAGGGCGTGCTAGTGAGGCTGCAGCCCCAGGCCTGGGCATGTCCACCTGATGTGGTCCATCCTGGCAGCGGGGCCTGGGCGGGGCTCTCAATCAGTGCTGTGGGCTTTGTGGTGAGGGAGGACAGGCAGAGTGGAGAGAGCAGGTGACCCTCAGAGGTGTGAGCCCAAGAGTGGACACTGGGCCGGCTTGGGGAGAGGCCAGACCCATTGGTGCTGGGCCTCCAGGGGGGGAGCTTAGGAGAGGCCAGGGCAGCATGCTCCCAGTGACCAAGGCTTCGGGGCAGCTCAGCCAGCGGTTGGCACCAGGCGCCTGTGCAGCTAGTGACCCAGTTCTGAAGATCACTGAGTGGGGTGCAGGTCCTCCTCTGTGTGGACTGCCCTGGCTCCACACCCTGGGCTGGTAGCCTCGCCGACACCCCCCCCTGCCCCGACCCCACCCCCCAGCCTTGGATGGTCCTTGTTCAGTCTCCATCTTCTGCCCCCTGTCCTCATGCTCTAAGTGAACCTCCAGGAGAATGCCCCAGCTTGGGCCCTGCAAGCGGTGGGGCGGATCAGCCCAGCCCCCGCACCGCACAGCCGAAGGAGGAGCGGGCAGGTCTGTGCAGGGCTGCAGCCTGTCATCTGGGCTTGCGTCTGCCAGCACAGCTCCAAATCACTACCTGAGGGTGTGTTTTCTGCTCAAGTTGGCAGTCGTGGGCGTGGGGGCAGGGCCACCGGCAGGAATGCGGCGGGCCGACGCGTGTCCCTCGTGGCCCTGCCCCACTGGCCGGCTGGCGGCGGGCGGGATGGGGCAGGCCCTGCCTTCCCTCCAGCCTCAGGGCGCCGGGGCCCAGCCAGCTTTCCTGCTGTCCCCATTCCTGGCTGGGGACAGGCAGGCGGTCACACATACTACCTACTCCCCTCCTCTGGCCCTGGGTGGAGGACGGGGGTCTCCCCTTTGGCCTTGAGCGTGGAGCTGATGTGGCCTTGGTGGAAGGGGGGTGGGCTCCTGCGGTGGAAGGGTGTGGGCAGCTGCTGGGACTAGGCCTTGGAGGCAGAGGACGGGACTGGGAGCTGCTCTGAGTCTTTACTCTGGCCCCCTAAGCCTTGGCCTGACCTTGTAAGCTTGGTCTTCCTGGGGGCTCTGGTACCATTGTCTGAGATCACCCCTGACTGGGAGTTAGGAGCAGGGTTGCCCCTCCCCTCAGCCCCCCAAGCAGGCAGTGACACCTGGCTGGTGGAGTGGAGATGGCATTTGCTCTCTTCTCTGGGGAGGGGGCACACAGGAACCTTCTGTTGGGACTTGGTGGGTATGGATTCAGAGGAACCAAGCAGGGTCCAGCTGGACCGTGTTCTGGGTGCCAAGGTGGTACCAAGCAGCCCCATCTGGGTCTGGGCCTCTCAAGGGCACCTCCCTGCAAACTGTCTTATCAGTGTGTTTCCAGGGGCCAGGTCTCTGACCCAGGCTAACATGGAGAACCAGGTTGTTGGAGGCAGGTTTGGTGAACTGCTGGGCTGAGGTGGGGGTGCCTTCTCTAGGGTAGGACTGGGCTGCCCCACCCCAATTGGCTGCTGCAGTCTCTGAGGCCAGCAGAGGCCCAGGGGTAGGAGGGGTGGCTGTGGCCAGGGTGGGCCACCTGAGTTCCCAGGGATGGGGTGGCAGGCTCCACTCTACTTCCTGGTCTCTGAAAGAAGGCTCTGGCCTGATGGCCCTGTCCCCTCAGCCTCCCTCCCTTCCCAGAGTCTTCCCCAGGGTGCTTCTGGCCTGGCACCCTGACCCACCCTTCAGCCCTCTTGGCCTCCCCAGCTTTCCTCAGCCCTTAGGAGCTCCAGGTGGCCTGAGAGAGCCTGGTCAAGGACTGCTCCAGCCTAAGATTGCCTAAGAGGGTCTCTCTGAAGGAGTCAGAGTATGTGGCAGGGTCTGGGTGAGGTCACCCACTGTGCCTGCTCGTACCTCCACAGCCTGGGCCAAGATCCTCACTCTCTCCCACACCTGGACCCCCTGGCTGCATCCGTGGGACCTGCTCCCAAACAGGAGCCTTAGATGCCATTGATGTCAGGCAAGGTGGGGTCCCTAGGGTGGTGGGTGTGGATGTGGGGGAGTGACTTTGTGACAGGGAGGGGGTAGCCACCAGGCTGGCCATAGAGGCCATCAGGGAGGGGTAGTGGCTCTCAGGAACTGCTCAGACTGCTCTGGATGGAGCCAGCTGGGCTCCTGCTAGAGGTCTGCCCTGGAGGCATGGGTGTAGGTCACTGCCCAGCCCTGGCCTCTGGCTGGAGCTGGGACCCCTACTGCCCGCCCCCCTTATCCCTACTCTGTACCAGGTTCCAAGCCGGGATCCCTGCCTCCCCCCATACCCCAATTGAGCCCTGTACTCTGTCCTGATTCGGGATCCCTGTCCCTGTCTGGGCCTGAGCCTGCATTTCTGGGTCCTTATCCTCAGTCCCCGGTCCCTCTCCTACCCTACAGCCCGCTCTCCTCCGAGTCTGGACCCTGAACCTCAGGTCAAGCTGAAAGTGTTATCTCCCAGGCGGAGCTGGGTCTCTGCATCTTGAGTCAGGGTTCCTGTTCCCTAAAAGCTGGAATCCCTGTATGTGAAGCCAGGGGCCCCATCCCCTGAGCCTCACCTCTAAGCGTGGGTCTCTATCTCCTGAACCTGGGTCCCTATCCTGAATCCTACTCCCCCAGTCAAGGTCTGGTCCCTAACCCCTCCTCCCTGCCACCAGGCCAAGAGTCCCCTATCTAGGCTGAGAGTCCTTGACCCAGTCTGAGCTGGGTTAAAGAGGATCAGCTGTCCAGGGCTGTAGTGTTCCTGAGATGGTGTGGGGAGGCGTTGGGACCCAGGGCTGAGTTCTCTGGGAGAGGGTACTGGACAGACAAGGCTCATCTGTGGCCCCAGGGCCGACACCTGAGTTCTTGGGGCCCCTCCTCCTGCTGTGCCCCGGGGACCCTGGGTGACAGTAGCAGCAGAGAATCGAGTTTCAGGAAATGTACCCGTTCTTGGAGCTGGCACCTGTACAGCACTCTGCTCTGTAGGGGGGCTGGCTGGCTGTGCAGCCTCCAGGCTGGCCGTGGTCTGTGGGCAGTGTCCAGGAGGCCGGGCTGTCTCTCCCAGGTCTGGGGCATCTGAAGCGTTGGGCGGGGTGTGGTACAACAGAGTGGGTCCCAGGAGCCCTGGTGGTGCATTGGCTTAAACAGTGGGCTGATCACTGAAGCCTACCAGCACCCCCCTCCCGCCTCAGCACCCCGGAGAAAGCTGGGGCAGTCTGTGTGTGTGGCAGCATGTGGACACACGAAGGCTCCTGGGCAGCTTGGTCCTGTAGGGTCGCTATGAGTCAGAAGTAATGGAGGGCAGTGGGCTTGAGGGTGGGGTCCTGGCCCGGGAGGTAGTGGTGGGGTAGGGTGGGGGTATGGGCAGTTTACTGGAGGGGGTATAGCTTGACCACACATGTCGAGAGGGGACTGGAAGGGTGGAGCTCCTGCTTCCTGCAGGGTAACCCAGGTGGGTGCGGTCTCTGGGCTGCTCAGCCCCCACCTGCACGGCCCACATTGCCCAGCAGAACCCCATCCTCCCTCTCTCCCTCCCTCCCTCCCTCTTAGAGCGGCAGCCCTGCCCTAGCCCTCACGTCCTATGGATGGTGCCTCGTCGGGAGACTGGACGGGCAGAGAGGAGGGGAAACTGAGTCCTAGAGGAAGACAGGCTCCAGGTGCTGCAGGGAGGCCAGGGCGCCCAGCAGGGATGGGAGCCAGGGTGCCCAGCAGAGCACCCCCTGCCCCCCTCCCTGTGCTGGCTCAGGTTCACTCATGAGGGCTCCCTGTCGCCCAGGTGTGAGGAGCCCAGCTGGCGGGTGGTGCATGTCCCTGCGGGAGCAGGTAACCGGAGCCCTGGGCTCTGGTGAAGATGATGGTAACCCTACCTGCCAGACTGGCGTGGGGTCTCCTGGGAGCCAAGAGGCACTCCCTGCTGGCCCCAGAGCCCAGGTGTGGCCCCCGAGGGGCGTCAAAGGCTGCACTGCCCTGTCGGGGCTGCTCTGGGTGGGAGCAGACTGTGTCCCATGTGGTCAGGCCCTGGCAGTGGGCATCCCTGCACCTGTGCCCCTGGCCTGGCACCCCTGTGCCCACACGTAGAAGAGCCCAGCCCTGTCCACTTCTATCTTATCATCTCTGCAGCTCAAGGGGCGGGGGCAGGAGCTGGCTGTGATCCACTGGCTCCCGGCTCCCTGAACCTCTCTGCCCTGTGCCCGCCTGAACCCCTCTGACCCATGTCCCCATGAATCCCTTGCTGCCCCTTGTCACCACCTCTGGGCTGCTATGTAGCCTTCCTGGTTGAAATCCCAGAAAGCACACTGCTTCCTGCCCTCAACTGCCTCATGTCCGGCCTCCAGCATGGTGGGGAGGCACCTGCTCCCTGTCACACGGGAAGCTCCTGGCTGCCTCTTCCTACCCCGTGGCCTATTTCCCCTTGGTGCCAGGCGTGGAGGCACAGCCCCAGCAGCAAGTTGCGCAGGCCACGTGCTACTTGGATGAAGGAGCGAAGGAGTAAATGAGTGGGCAGACAAGCAGGTCAAGGAACACAGCCCTAGAGGGAGCCAGGTGCTGCTGCAGCAGCTCCAGGGTCCCGGGGAGGGCTGGACTGGGGGGCGGGGTGGTGGTGGCTGAGAGCGGCAGGCTAGGCCGAGGGGAGGGCAGTGCACACTCCTGGGGGCGGATGGGAGGCTGCGTGTGGGGTGGGCCAGCGAGGGGCAAAGGTCCAGAGAAGGGGCAGCAAAGGGCTGAGTGGTGGGGACCTGTGGCGGCTTCCTCAGCGTGTCTGGGTTCCTGTGCACTTGGCTCAGGGGCTGTGGGGCAGGGTGGCAGGGAGTGGGCCGAGAGGCCCAGTGGGAGAGGGAGGCCGCCTTCTCGGGGTCTCAGGTAGGTGTAGGTCAGTGAAGCTGACAGGGCGGTTGTGGGGTCTGAGGAAGAGGTTCATCTCGAGGTGAGGGCAGCAGGGGAGTCCAAGGGCTGGTCCAGGAGTCAGTCTCCCTGGGGGCAGCAGGTGGGGTGGGTGCAGAAGACCACTAGGATGTGAGGGCCTGCGCTGGGCCCACCAGGTCATGAGTAATCTGAGGCCTTATACCCTGGGGCAGGACCCAGAGGTCAGGTCTAGCCCTGCCTGTCGTCCCCAGTTGGGGAGCCAGGCTCTGTGGGATGGTTGCCAGGACTGCTGGGGCCCATGGGCAGTGGGGCCGTGGGCCGTGATTGCAAACAGTGGGGCTGTGGACAGTGAGGCTGTGGGTGGTGGGGCTATGAACAGTGGGGCCGTGGGCATGGGTCTGTGGACAGTGGCTCTTTTGACAATGAAGTTGTGGTCAGTTGGTCTGTGGGCAGTGGGGCCATGGGTGGTGACTAGGCTGTGCTGCTACCCCTCCTGCTGTCCATGGGCCTGTGAGTGAAGCTCCCAGGCCAGGCCAGCGAGCTCAGGTTACTTTGCTGGCGGGCAAGCAGGCCAGGCCCTTAGGTTGCTGGGGCGACAGGCTGACAGCATCAGCCATCATGGCTGCCTGGGTCCCGGGGGCCAGATGGCCTGTGAGGGCCAGCCACTTTGTGCCCGAGTGTGCACTGTGGCCCCTCTGTGCTCTTGTGTGGAAAGTACTATATACTTACGGGGGTGGGGGTGTGGGGGTGGACAAGGAGGGTGAGGAGAGGGGTGCTTGGATGGGCAGGAGGCCCAGGTATGGTAGGGGGGCGGGGTAGGTGGTCTCTGCCAGAGGCAGCTCTTATGGGAGCAGAACAGTCTTAGTTGAGGGTGACCCTGAGGGGGCGGGGACTGGAAGCAGGATCTAGTGTTGCCCACCGTGAGCCCATCCCCAGCTAGCTGTAGGGGTTTCCAATTGGCACCTCCTGGTCCCAGGCCCTTCTCTGGCTCAAGGCTGGTCTGGGGGTGTGTGAGCAGCTCAGCTCCCTGTACCCATAGGCCTGGAGATATGGCCTCTATCTCCCACCTGATGGGATGGGGCAGGGAGAGAGGGGGTCTTTGGCTGGCAAGAGAGCTCAGAGCCTGAGAGACAGAGGCTGCAGGGTTGAGGCTCTGGGAGAGGGGAGCCAGGTCCCGGGTGTGGCGGGCAGGGCCGCAGGCCTCTGATCAGCCCTCTCTGTGTCACGTCCACAGCGGTCCTTCACCCTCATCGTGGAGGCCTGGGACTGGGACAACACCACCAGCCCAGATGGTGAGTAGCCGGGCGGGGGCAGTGCCGACAGGGCCTCCCTCAGGGCACTGGGCAGCTGGCTCCCCTTGGCCTCCAGATGCCTCCTGGCTGGTCCTGGTCCTGGACTGGCACAGAGGCCACTGTGCCAGGAAGCAGCCTCATCCCGGAGCAAGTGCGCAGTTCCCTTTTTGCCCTGGCTGCTGGGAAGCCCTGTGGTGTCTGAACCACCCTCCTGACCGGTTTCTGTGCTTGTCTGGCTGGGCATGTTCTTCAGACCTGAAGTGGAAGTCATGCCTTCAGAGGCTCTATCTCCTCTCCTGAAATGTGGGCCTGTGTGGCTCCTCACAGGACACTGCTTGTGCCCAGGTTGTCCTGGGAGGAGGCCAGGGTTTCTGGTGGTGTGGGAACCTCGGATGTGCTGACCAGCACATGCAAAGACCTTGAGGCAGGAGCAGGTGTGGCCGTTTGGGGAGCAGGGTCAGAACCTAGAGGCCTTGGGGCCTCCATGAGGAGGCTGGCCTTCCCTCTGGTGTGAGTGCCGGGGCAACCATACCAAGAGCCAAGGTGGGGACAGTGAAGGAAGAGGCCACTGTGTGGCCAGGCCAGTAGGAGTCTTGGCCTGGGGTGGCTCTGAAGGTGTCAAGAGGTCTGGATTCTGGCCACTCCTGAGGCTGTGGGTGAGGGGAGTGGTCAGGGATAGAGGTGGGTACATGGGCAGATGGTGTTCCAGCGCTGGGCAGACATGGAGTGCCTTGGGACAGAGAGGTGTCCATGGGAGTGGAGGCAGGGGTGAGGCTGGAGAAGCAACTGTTGTGTCCTTCAGGCCTGGTAGGGCCTGGGTGCTGGGAGTGGGGGTCTGGGCTTCGAGGGTGGGCTCTGGGCTCTGAGGGTGGAGCCTGGGCTCTGGGTATTGGTCTGGGGGTCTTGGGGTGGGAGTGGGGGTTTGGGGGCAGGAGTGTGGTGGTGGGGGCTTGGGGGTGGGGGTCTGAGTGCGAGGGCATGAGGAGCTGTCTGAGGTTCACCAGCCTTTTATGAAGGGGAGCTTACCTGGTACAGGGGTGGCCAGGCATCAGGTCCTTGTCGCCCAGTGCAGGTGACTCTGAAGAGAGGTCTCCTTGCCTTTTCTGATCCACACAGATCCAAGCAATGGATGGACACTGCTTGACTGACTCCATAGAGAGTGGTTCAAAGTGAAGGGCAGAGGGGTTCCTGGACCGCAGCTGTGTGGGCAAGGGGTGGGCAGGGTACCTGAGTGGGCACAGGTGATGGGGAGAGGGAGAGTGGTGAGCACAGGTGGAAAGACAGCAGAGGGCAGAGGTTGGGGACAGCATGTGGTCCTCTAGGCCTGGCAGGAGAGGTGGTAGAATCCAGGAGAGACAAGGACACCCCAGACTGTGGTGGGCTCCCGAGGCCACTTTCCTGCCCAGGCCATGCAGAACAGCGGCTGGGCCTGGTGGGCACAAGGAGGGCAGGCCGAGGCGGAGGGGGCTCTGTCCAGATTGGGAGGGTGGAAGTTCTAGGACCCCATGTCCTCTTCCGGACTTACCCCCAGGGGCCCCTGATTCAGTTGGAAGAGCTGGGCCCTGCCCCTCTCTTGTCCCCCCAGTGTAGCTCAGTTCTGCCCTCTGCAGGTCTCCCCATCCACACGGGGTGGGAGGTCTGGGCAAGCCCAGTGGGTCCCTGGCTGTGTGCACCCCGAGGGCGGAGTTCTTGGCTGGGGTGCCCGGCAGGCTGACTCTCTCCCCGCCCCCCAAGAGGAGCTGCTGATTGAGCGGGTGTGGCACGCCGGTATGATCAACCCGGAGGATCGCTGGAAGAGCCTGCACTTCAGCGGGCACGTGGCCCACCTGGAGCTGCAGATCCGCGTGCGCTGCGATGAGAACTACTACAGCACCACCTGCAACAAGTTCTGCAGGCCGCGCAATGACTTCGTTGGCCACTACACCTGCGACCAGTACGGCAACAAGGCCTGCTTGGACGGCTGGATGGGCAAAGAGTGCAAGGAAGGTGAGGGGCCAGTGGGCAGTACGCAAGGACTGCTGAGCTCGAGGGTCTGAGCTGCAGCCGCCTCTCCTCTGTCCACAGCCGTGTGCAAGCAAGGTTGCAACCTGCTCCACGGGGGATGCAAGGAGCCCGGGGAGTGCAGGTGAGTGCACCCTGCACTGCCACCTCCTATGCAGTGAGGGGCCAGCCTGGGGTTTGAGGTCGGTTCTCAGTGGGGGCCTGAACTGCAAGGCAGGTTGCTGGGGGTGGGATGGGGTGGGGGTGGGGGGAAGAGGCAGGGATGTACCACCCTGGTGGAGACCTTGAGCTCCCAGATGGAGGGCAATGGGGCGGGGGCATGGAGGGCACACAACAAGGGAAGGCCTCGAGCCCCTAGAGTGTGTGGGGGTTCAGGTTGGGGTATACCCCGCAGGAGCATAGACCCTCCCCCCAAAAGGCAGAAGGGCACCTCAGTGAGAGGAGGCATATGGGAGGCCAGGCAAAGAGGCCTGTTCTTCCAGTTCGAGCAGGAGGGCCCTGGAGGGTTGGGGTCAGAGAGGGGCTGCATCTGGCAGGTGGGAGGTGGTGGGCCCTGCACTCTCGGGGAACAGAGGGCTTTGGGGACATGTGGTGGTGAGGCTGAGTGGAGGCTGGCTCACACCAGGCCCCGAAAGATAGCGAGGGCTGCCATCCTGGGACCTTGCAGCTAGCAGCCGAGTGCTTTGCTGCTGCACCCCATAGGGCCAAGTGCACCCTGTAGGGCTGAGTGCGGGATGATGGGACTTAATGCGGGTGAGAGAAGGGGCAGGGCTGGCGCGTCCGTGTCCTCTTTGGGGCCCTCCCTGACACCCTGGGAGATGCCAAAGAAGTAGTGGCTATAATGTGCTGTTGGGCAGCTTTGATGGGCAGAGGTCTTGAAGTCCCTGGCTGGGGCAGACAGGTGCACGCCTGGCCTCCTCCAAAGATAGCCAATGCCCAGTGCCTCACCCCTGCTATCTTCAGTGGCCAGCGCCTCTGGCTGACAGGCTTGAGGTCTTCCCTGACCCCTGTTCTCTCCTCATCGGGTGGTGAGGAGGGGAGGGGAGGCAAGGAGGGAGTGATGGGAGGGCAGCTGGAAGGTGGGGGATGGGGGCTGTAGAACTGGGCAGAGTCCCAAAGGAAGTCCTCAGGGTGAGCCCCAGGAAGGGCGGCTAGATGGAGGGGAGTGGTGGGTGTGAGGGAAACCGGATGCACCTCTGTGAGTGAGGTGGGCTGAGGCCAGCCCCATCTCAGTGACTACAGTGAGGTGGGCTCGGTAGGGTGCGGCTTGACTTCCCTTTAGTAAGCATAGTGGGCAGAGCTAACCCCTCCCCATGCTCCTACCCCCAACACCAATTAAGTACTGGGCCTGGTCCCCATACACTCCCCCAAGGTGAGCCTAGTGGGTGGGGCTCAGTGGGTCAGGGCTCAGTCCCCCCACCCCTCATAGTTACTCAGTGAGCTCGGTGCGGGCCTCAACTCTATCCATCCTCCCTGCAAGCCCAGTTGGTGGGGCTTGCCTGCCCCCCAAGTACTTGGGTGAGACCCAAACCCAGTGGGCATGGCTTTGACCCCCAGAGTGAGCGCAGTGGGTGCTGCCCAGCCCTCCAGGACCCCAGTTGGCCGCTTGTGCAGTATGCAGCTAGTCGGGGGCTTGCAGTCCTGGGCAGAGCCAGGAGCTGGAATGCCCATGGGGGAGGAAGCCCCAAGCCTGGCCCCTGCCCAGGGCCTGGGAGAGGAGGCATGGTGAGCCCCGCCCACCAGTTTCCGCGCCCGCCCAGTGGGCAGGTCCAGCTGCTGCCTGCTCCGGTTTCAGCCCCACCGGATGCTGCGGAGATGGCCCTGCCTTCCTGCTGCTGGGGGGGGGAGGGGGGGGCAGGCGGGTGTGCTGCCCCACCCGGGGTTGGGAGCATCCCCTGGGGAGTCGGCGCCTGAGCTCCATTGCTGGGTGACCAAGGCGCTTCAGAGCCCTCCCGAAGCTGCCCCGGGCTCCCCAGCTGTCAGTTGGAGGCTGGTCTCTTGAGAGGGAGGCCCTCAAGCCGGATCCACCCTGCAGGAGGCCTGTCTGTCCGCCTGCCCGCTCACCAGCCTCGGTTTCCCCACGTCCAGGCCCTTCGTTTGCTGGCCGAGGGGCTGGCTGCTCAGGAAGGGCCGCGGCTTTCCCTTTGACAAAAATAAATTCACGTGGGGGCGGGTGGGGCGGCATGGAAGTGACGTCGTCTGATGTCATTCTGTCCGGCACGACTTGGGCGCTCTGGACAACAGAGCTTCTGGGGTTCTGTCCAGAAACCAGGCGCTCTGTCCAGCTTGTAGAACCCGGGTTTGCTGGCCCTGCCCTCTGCTCATTGCCCTGTGGACCTCAGAGCCCTGTCTGCCCTGCTGCCTGCTGCCCCTCCCACTGGACTTCCCCGAGGGACACTGGCCAAGGGCTGGGGCAGGACTGGACTTGGATGACAGCCTGGGCCTCTGGGGTCCTGGTGCCTGGAGCAGAGATACTTGGCAAGGTGGGGCTGGAGTGCCCCAGCATGGGGTCCAGAATTGCCCTTGTCTGGTCCAGGCACCACTATCCTGGGGCAGCCATGAGGGGTCTGTGTAGGCATCTGGGAAAGACGTCAACTTCTGGGGCTTGTGGGCAGAGAAAGGCTTCTGCCCTTGAGTTATGGACAAGGTCACACGCTGTACCCAAGGCCACGAAGGCAGGGCTGGAACCCGCCTCTCCCCCCCCCCTTGCCTGCCTAGACCCCTGTGTTGCCTGGTCCTGGCAGCATTTGGCCTGTGTGAACTGGTGCGGGCCTGCCTGGGTCCCGGCAAAGCCTGCCTTTCCTGGCGCCTGCCTGCGGGCCCCTGCTATGGTCGAGTCCCAAAATAGCCAGAGAGAACTGATGCCACAGCTGGGGCGGCCGGGAAGTGCAGTGACAGTCAGGCTGCCTGGCCCAGGGCCCACCCAGTTCAAAGGCCCAGGCCGCCTGCTGGCTCCTGTGGGTGTCTCTGCACCCGTGGGCTTCACTGCCTCCTCCTACCAGGTGCAACTACGGCTGGCAGGGCAAGTTCTGTGACGAGTGCTTGTCCTACCCTGGCTGTGTGCATGGCAGCTGCGTGGAGCCCTGGCAGTGCACCTGCGACACCAACTGGGGTGGCCTGCTCTGCGACAAAGGTGGGGTATGGGGTGCAGGGCATGGGGGGGGTGTAGGGCCAGCCGGGGCAGCAGCAGGCCTGATGAAGCCCCTGGCCCACAGATCTCAACTACTGCGGGAACCACCGTCCCTGCATCAACGGCGGCACATGCATCAATGCGGAGCCCGACCAATACCTCTGCGCATGCCCAGACGGCTACTCTGGCAAGAACTGCGAGCGGGGTATGTCCGTGGTAGGGGCTGTACAGGGGGGGGGGCGTGGGGGGGAGGGGGGCTTGTGGGCAGGGCCGGGCTGCATCTGGGTCCTCCACCCACCACCCTGTCCTGGCCTCCTAGCTGAGCACGCCTGCGCCTCCAACCCCTGTGCCAACGGGGGCGCTTGCCACGAGGTGTCTTCCGGCTTCGAGTGCCATTGCCCCTCGGGCTGGAGTGGGCCCACCTGCGCCCTTGGTGAGTGCCTTGCGCATGCCTGGGTGGAGGGCTGGGAGGGGAGGGGCGTGTCCGCTGGGCTGCCCCCACAAGGCCCTGGCCATGGTCCTATGAGGCTGCCAGGTCTGAATCATTGTCGCCTTCCCTGGAAGCTCTAGGCCGGGGGTATCAAACTGGCGGCCCCGGAGGTAATTTTTTGTGGTGCGTGATACTCTGCAATAACATGAAAATAGAAAAAATTGTTATGAAGCAAATAGCGCTTAGGGGAGATCAAGGCAATACCGAACACACAATTCCCTCGTTAACTCTTTAACTACTGAAGATGAGTATACACGTGGCTCAGTGCCTTTCCTGGGGGCCTGTGGACATGTATAAACACGCTGACCAGTTCCAGTGACGTTTGGAAGCGATATGTCTGCCACTCTCAGTGTCATGTAATGTGAACAGATCCCAATAGGGAAAAGGTTAAAAGGAGAGCTCTGAGTTGTGCTGTTAGGAATCATCCCTAGCGGCAGCGCTAGTTAACATTTTTAGAGGGAAGTCATTAAGATTGTGCATCACGTTTGTCAGCTGTCCAACATTGTGTGTTTTTTATTAGTGACTTTGTTATATTTTCCGGTCACAACATACGAGGTAAGTGCAAACTAGTAGGAGGAAAGCGCTGGCAAGTTTCGGGTAAAAAATAATAATTTTAGTTTTATAAATACATTAAATAAAGTAAATATTTCAATAAAAGCAATTATATAGTATTTTAATTATCCTATCCATATTCCTGAATCCTCACTTCAAAATATAAATTTAACAAAATTTGTCAATGTGATGTGGCCCGCGTGAATCTTGCCTTTTACGCTAAATGGCCCACGTTTTAATTGAGTTGACACCCTGCTTAGGCCTTCATAGGCTTGTCCTGGGCCACAGGAGGCCCTGCACCCATGAGATCTCACACATGTACAACCCTCCCATGCCCCATCTCTGTGTGTCATCACTCATAACACCCCGGTGGTCCTCCCACCTGCCCCTTGTTCCCCTGCAACCCCAAGCCCCCCATCTCCGAGTGGACCCTCGTCCGCTCCCTGACCAGCACCTCTTTGCAGCCCCGCCCCCAGGCCTGCCTGTTACTCAAGGCCCTGCCCCCATGCGGATGCCCACATACTGTTCCCTTTCTCCTCTGCAGACATTGATGAGTGTGCGTCGAACCCGTGTGCAGCGGGAGGGACCTGTGTGGACCAGGTGGATGGCTTCGAGTGCATCTGTCCCGAGCAGTGGGTGGGGTCCACGTGTCAGCTGGGTAAGGCCCCCCGCGGGGGTGCAGTGCCAGTGCATGTGAGGCTGAGCTGCTGCTGCTGCTGCTGCTGCTGCTGCTGCTGCTGCTGCTGCTGCGGTGTGGGGTGCCCCTGCCCAGTTTTTTCCCCTTGTCTCGTCCGCAGACGCCAATGAATGTGAAGGGAAGCCGTGCCTTAACGCTTTTTCTTGCAAAAACCTGATTGGTGGCTATTACTGTGATTGCCTCCCGGGCTGGAAGGGCACCAACTGCCACATCAGTTAGTATGGGGTGGGGTGCAGGGGGCAGGGCTGGGGCCCCGGGCTCTCCACGTGACTCCCCCTCTATCCCCAGACATCAACGACTGTCGAGGGCAGTGTCAGCATGGCGGAACCTGCAAGGTGAGGCAAGGCCGGCGGTCTGGGGGTTGGGGGTCCCCCACACAGGTCGCCTCACTGACCCCACTCACTACAGGACCTGGTCAGCGGGTACCAGTGTGTGTGCCCTCGAGGCTTCAGCGGCCGGCACTGCGAGCTGGAGTGGGACGAATGTGCCAGTGGCCCATGCCGGGGCGGTGGCCTCTGCCAGGACCTCGTGGACGGCTTCCGCTGCCATTGCCCCAAGGGTCTGTCTGGGCCCCTCTGTGAGGTGAGGGACACAGGACCGAGGAACAGACTGTGTGACGGGCCTGGAGGCTTGGGTGGGGGTGGGGGCAGCTGCTTTTGTGCGAGTCTTCTTGTCTGCCTGGGCAGGCCTCCTCCTGGGGACCTCTGAGCCTCATTGCTGCCAGGTGGACACTGGTCTACTCCCTCAGGCCTTGGAGGGTTTCAGGGTGGATGCTGCTGTGCCCAGTGGGCTCCTGTCATGAGGACAGGTCCAGCCTTGGCCGGCAACCTTTGGCTGGCTCTGAGAGACCAGGATAGAGGGGCAGTAGGGCTCTGGCCTTGCTGCCTGCAGGGGACCAGGGCAAAGAAGGCTCAGGCCCTGGAGGGTCTCCCGCCGCTGACCTGCCGCCTGGGGTGGCTGGTTCCCAGGGGCTTGGCTGCCTGCATGTTTGCCAGCCATGGAGCTGGCCTGTCTTTGGACCCCCCAGCTGGGTCCTTACAGACACTTGGGCCAACAGGTGGGTGTGGACCTGTGTGACCCCAGCCCCTGTCAGAGCGGAGCCCGCTGTTACACCCTGGAGGGCGACTATTACTGCGCATGCCCTGACGACTTTGGCGGCAAAAACTGCTCTGTGCCTAGGGAGCCGTGCCCTGGCGGGGCCTGCCAAGGTGGGACTGCGGGGGCGGGGCTGGGGCGGGGCCTAATGAGGGGACTGTGGGGTGGGGCTAGGAGGGCCATAGGAGGGATGCTGGCTGCAGGGCGCAGCTGACCCAGCCCACTCCTGTGCTGCAGTGATTGATGGCTGTGGCCTCGAAGCGGGTCCCCGGGTGCCTGGTGCTGTGCCCAGTGGCGTGTGTGGCCCTCACGGGCACTGCATCAGCCAGCCAGGTGGCAACTTCTCCTGCGTGTGCGACAGTGGCTTCACCGGTGCTTATTGCCATGAGAGTGAGTGGGTGGGCAGTGCGCAGGGTGGTGACGTACTGTGGATGGGGTCGTACACTGGGCTGCGGGCTGCGAATAGGGGTGCAGCGGGGTGGGGGAGACCCATGGATGGGGCTATGAATGGAGGTGGTGGAGAGGAGGTGTGGGGACTTGTGGGCGGGGCTGTGGGTGGGGTGGTGGTGCAGCACCTCCTGGCCCCTGCCCACATGCCTGGCCCCTGCAGACATTGATGACTGCCTGGGCCAGCCATGCCACAACGGGGGCACCTGCATTGACGAGGTGGACGCCTTCCGGTGCTTCTGCCCCAGCGGCTGGGAGGGCGAGTTCTGTGACATCAGTGAGTGGGGGGGGACAGGGGCGGATGGTGCCCCAGACTGGGGCTTGGTGGGGGGGAGGCTACCTACTCATGTGTTGGGCCACCACCCCTCTGGGGTGCTGCAGCTAGGCCTGCTCCCGCTGCCCACACTCCCCACCCGGCCCTCTGTCTGTCCTTGGCCCAGCTCCGGTGGGCACCCCCTCCCAGGCAGCCCTCCTGAGCTCCACTGCCGCCCGCTGACGCGCACGCTCCCCTTAGACCTAGACGACTGCTCCCCCGACCCCTGCCACAGCCGTGGCCGCTGCTTCGATCTGGTCAACGACTTCCACTGTGCCTGCGACGGCGGCTGGAAGGGCAAGAGCTGCCACTCTCGTGAGTGCCCTGCCTTCGCGCCCCTACGGGCCACCGCCTGCCCGCCCACCTGCTGAGACCCCTGTGTCCACAGGGGAGTTCCAGTGTGACCTCTACACCTGCAGCAACGGAGGCACCTGCTACGACAGTGGGGATACCTTCCGCTGTGACTGCCTCCCGGGCTGGAAGGGCAGCACCTGCACCATCGGTAAGACGGGCTGGCCCGGACACCCCAACCCACTCTGAGCCCTGGGGCTCCCAGTGAGCAGGGCCTGCCCCGGCTGACTGACCAGTCCTCTCTCTCTGCCCTCTGAAGCTGAGAACAGCAGCTGTCTGCCCAACCCCTGCATGAACGGTGGCACCTGTGTGGGCAGCGGGGACTCCTTCTCCTGCATTTGCCGGGACGGCTGGGAGGGCCGAACCTGCACCCACAGTGAGGCCGGAGGCAGGGGGGCTGGTGTGGGTGTGGTGGGGGACCTGCAGCTGCTGACTGCCAGCCGCGGCTACCTGCCGAACACAGCCCTTCACCCCCATGAAGACCCCTCCCCTCCTCTCCCAGCCTCACCGCCACCTCCTACTTCCCTCGATCAGGGCTGCTTCCTTCCAGAAGCCCTCCCCACTCCTCCCAGCTCCCCCTTGCGCCCCCCCCCCCTTCCGCTCTGGCATTGGTGGTGCAGGTGGCTGGCTGGGCGGGCAGCTGCTGGAATGATCACTCTGTTACTCCCTCCTCAAACCCAGACACCAACGACTGCAACCCACTGCCCTGGTGAGTGGCTGCCAGTGGTGGGGTGCCACGGGCCTTGCTGGCACAGCAGACCCTCACTGAAGCTCACCCTCTCCCCCGCAGCTACAATGGCGGTGTCTGCGTCGACGGCATTAACTGGTTCCGCTGCGAGTGTGCGCCTGGCTTCGCTGGCCCTGACTGCCGCATCAGTGAGTGGCCGGCCCCTGGGCGGGGGTCCACTCTGCACACCCTTGGGCTTTGCAGCCTGTAGCCTCAGTGAAGACCAGGGTGCCTCTTCCTGGACCCTCAGGCAGGCTTCCCTGAGACCTCCACCGAGGCTCCTCCCATGCAGGACAGGGCAGGGCAGGGCAGGCACCAAGCAAAACCCACTCACTGCCAAGGAGTCAGTGCTGACTTATAGCGTCCCCTGTCGGGTTCGAGACTGTAACTGTTTACAGGAGGAGGAAGCCCAGTCTTTCTCCCTGGGAGCTGGAGCTCCGGGGCCCGCTGGCAGGTGAACCGAGGCCACCCTCACCTGCCGTTGTTGGCTGCTGAGCCCTGACTCCCCACAGACATCGACGACTGTCAGTCCTCACCCTGCGCCTATGGGGCCACGTGCGTGGATGAGATCAATGGCTACCGCTGCAGCTGCCCACCTGGTCGGGATGGCCCACGGTGCCAGGAAGGTGGGCCGGGTGGGAGTGTGCCAGGCAGGAGGGCCATGGGGTCCACAGCTGCTGGAGGGTGGGCATACCCGGTGAAGGGGGCTGGGCTATGTCTGGCAGGGCCTGCTCATGATGGGGTGGGGTAGAGGGGGAACTGACTATTGGGTGGGTACTAATCTGCCTTCTCCTGCAGTAATCGGGTTCGGGCGGTCCTGCTGGTCTCGGGGTACCCCCTTCCCCCACGGGAGCTCCTGGCTGGAGGACTGTAACAGCTGTCACTGCCTGGATGGCCATCGGGACTGCAGCAAGGTGCGGGCCCTCTGCCCTCACCCCAGCCCACACTGGACCCTGGAGGGTGGTTGCCCGTTGGCAGTGCCTCCTTGCCCACGTCTGACTTCAGTCTACCTGATGGTGTGCGCATTTGTCGTAACCCTGACCCTCCTTCCTGGCCTGGGGAGACAGGCTGGGCTAGGGCAGTAGTGTTCAGACCCAGAGGCTTGTGCCTTGCGGGGCTCCCCACTCCTTCTGGCCCCCAGGGGCCATTCCGATGGGGAAGCACGCAGCCTGGGCCCTGAGGCGGGGCTGGCGGGTGAGCAGCCAGGAGTACTGACCTGGGCTGTGGTCTGTGCCACTGTGCCATGCTCGTGCCGTGCCTGTCCCAGGTATGGTGCGGGTGGAAGCCCTGCCTGCTGACCAGTCAGCCTGATGTCCTGAGTGCCCAGTGCCCGCTAGGGCAGAGATGCCAGGAGAAGGCGCCAGGCCAGTGCCTGCAGCCACCCTGTGCGGCCTGGGGGGAGTGCGGCCCCGAGGAGCCCCTCCCACCCAGCACACTCTGCCTGCCACACTCCGGCCACCTGGACAGCAACTGTGCCCGCCTCACACTGCACTTCAACCGAGACCAAGTGCCCCCGGTGAGTCAGCCCCTGGCAATGGAGCTTAGCCAGCGTAGCCCATGGGCAACCCTGTGTGTGCAGTGTGTTGGTGGCAGGACCCAGGACACTATCTCTGTTATTGGGGTCTGCTTTTCTGGCTGCTGCTGGATTGGAGCTAGCAGTGGACCTGCTGCTCGAGCTCTGGACACTCCCCTGGGACTCAGACAGCCCTCCCCAGTGCCTGGGACTTAGAATGCCACGAGGTGGGGCCCCCAGTGCAGCCACCTTGCACCTGCTGATGCCCCAGGGAATGGAAAGGGCTGGCTGGCCTGGCCCCCCGCCTTGGGCAGAGTCCTGCTCCTCTCATGCCGTGGGTCTGCACAGGGCACCACTGTGGGCGCCATCTGTGCTGGGATCCGCACCCTGCCAGCCACCAGGACTGTGGCCCACGACCGCCTGCTGCTGCTGCTCTGTGCCCGGGCGCCCTCAGGGCCCAGTGCTGTGGAGGTAGCTGTGGTGAGTGCTGGGGAGGGTAGGAGGCTCCCAATGGGAGCATGGGGGCAGGTGGGGTAGGAGGAGGGGCAGTGGTAGCTCAGGCCCAAGCTGTGTCCAGCAGGTGCCCACCACTGATACTGGCCCACAGGAAGCATGCTGGGCCCTGCTGGGGGACCAGGAATGGGGATGGGGGTGGGGCAGGGAAATCTTTCACAGGAAGAGCTGGAGCATCTTCCACGGGTGGGGGGCAGCTTCCTGAGGGGCTGCAGCCAGGGTGGGGGAAGGGCAGAGCAGGTATATGGAGGCCCCGGAGAAGGGGTGCTGCCCCCTGACAGAGCTGGCCCTGCTGAACCACAGCACAGCCTCCCCAGGCAAGGCCCTCAGCCCTGTGTCCTGCCCCCACCCCACCCCAGTCCTTCAGCCCTGCTCAGGACGCAGGGGACAGCAGCTTGGTCCAGAGCGCCGCCCACGCCATCGTGGCCGCCATTACGCACCGGGGGAACAGCTCCCTGCTGCTGGCCGTCACTGAGGTCAAAGTGGAGACGGCCATGCTGGGTGGGGCCACCACAGGTATGGGGGCGGGGCGGGTCTGCTGCCCCCAACCTTCATGATCCTTCCAGCTGCCCCTGCCTCACCCCTGGGCCGGCGGGCAGGGTCTGCTGCATGCCCCGCACCTATCTCCTCCTGCTTCACCCCTGGGCCCTGCAGGTGGCTTCGGGGCTGCCTGGGCCTCAACACGCTGCCCCCCCACAGGCCTGCTGGTGCCCGCGCTGTGCAGCGCGTTCGTTGTGCTCTGGCTGGCCTGCATCGCCGTGTGCGTCTGGTGGACGCGCAAGCGCAGGAAAGCGCGCGAGCGGAGCCGGCTGCCGCGGGAGGAGAGCGCCAACAACCAGTGGGCCCCGCTCAACCCCATCCGCAACCCCATCGAGCGGCCGGCCGGAGGGGCCAAGGACGCGCTCTACCCCTGCAAGAACTTCACGCCGCCGCCGCGCAGGGCGGCAGAGACGCTGCCCGGGCCGGCGGGCCGCGCGGGCAGCGAGGACGAGGAGGACGACGAGCTGGGCCGGCCTGAGGAGGACTCCCTGGAGGTGGACAAGTTCCTCACCCCCAAACGCACCAAAGACCCGGGCTGCGCGCCGGGACGGCCAGCCCACTGGGCCTCGGGCCCCAAAGTGGACAACCGGGTGGTCTGGAGCGCCAAGCACACCCTGGACGCTGCCAAGGAGTAGGCGTGGCCCCGCGCGGGGGGCAGCGGGGCTCACAGTGTCTTTATTTTGTGTAAAAAAAAGAAAAAGGCAAAAAACAAATGTTTATTTTCTATGTTTCTCTAACCTTGTATAAATTATTGGTGAGGGTCCGGCAGTGGCAAGCAGCGGCGTGTCCCTGGAGAGTGGCTGTTTTTGTAAGGTCACCCTGCGTGGCCCCCTCCGGGTGGCCAAGTGGGGGGTCTGTGTTCTCACCAAATCCCGTGTTTGCTACCAGATATTGGACACTGTTTACAGAACCTTTCTTTTGATTCCTCGCTCGGGCACCTTAGAGGCTGGGGCCTGTGGCTGTCAGCTGGACATGTGGTGGTCAGTGTGGCTGGTGGCAGTCAGCATGTTCCATGGTTGCCTGCGGGGTACTTGGGTGCCGCCGGGACCCATGGCTGTCGCCTCTGTTGAAGTGGTCTGTGGCCGTTCCCTGGCCGGTGCCCTGCTGTCCCGTGTCCGCTGCAGCTCCCCACGGCCCCAGAGGCCTCCACTGTGCTTTCAAAGTGACCTTCCCGTGGCTCCGCCCCGCGGGGCTCCTGACAAGTGCCTTCACTCTGACCCGTCCCCTGCGACCTCAGCACCTGGCCGCCTCCTGCCTCGCCCCCGGCCCTGCCGCCCCTCGTGAAAGTGCATTTTTGTAAATATGTACATATTAAATGAATCACTCTGTATATTTGATTTAATAACTTAAAGGTTTTGGCTTCCCTCGTTCCTTGAACGCTGCTCCTCTGTTCATTGCGGCTTGGGTGGGGCGGTGATGTGGAGGGTGGATGCCCCAGGCAGGTTGTCTAGGCATCGAGGCCTGGGCAAAGCCATCGGGTGCATTAGCGCTCCTAGTCAATGCAGCTAAAGGAAGGCACGCAGCCTGGCTCAGCATCGCTTGGCCAAGAGCCACCAAACACTAAGGGCTTTTTGGCGTGAGGCTCTCTCCAGTCAGCTCTGAGTCGGAACAACCCGTGTACAACTGAACAAAACACTGCCCAGTCCTGCACCATCCTCACAGTTGGTCCGAGGTGTGAGCCCACAGCTGTCTGTCCATCTTATCCAGGGCCTTCCGCTTTTTCATGCCCTCTCTCAAGCACGAGGTCCTCCTCCGAGGACTGGTGACCCCCGACAAAGTCTTACCACCCCGACTTCTATGGAGCGTTCTGGTGGTACTTCTGCCGAGACAGACGTGTGTGTCCTTTTGGCACGCCATGGTATGTGCTCAGGATTCTTCAGCATGGATTCTCCTTCAGAGACTCCATTGTTCGTATCCCATGTTCAACTTTCACATGCATGTGAGATGACTGAAAAATACCATGGCTTTGGTCAGGCACCTTCGCCCTCAAAGTAACATCCTTTCAATACTTTAAAGAGGCGCAGCAGATTTACCCAATAAGATACCCTTTGATCTTGACTGCTGCTACCAGGAGCCCTGATTGTGGATCTGGGCAAGATGACATCCTTGACAAATTTCCCCTTTTCTCCATTTGTCGTGCTGTCATGGATTGGGCCCGTTGTGAGGCTCCTGGTGTTCTTTCTATTGGTTGTTATCCATACTGAAAGCTACAACCCTTGATCTTCATCAGGAAGTGCTTCAGGTTCTCCTCCCTTTCAACAAGCAAGGTTGTGTCATCTGCATAACACAGGTTGTTAATAAACCATTCTCCAATCCTGATGCTGTATTCTTCTTTATTTAGTCCAGATTCTCTGATTATTTGCTTAGCATGCAGATTGAATAAGTATGAAGAGAGGTTACAGCCCCGACACACACCTTCCCTGGTTTAAAACCATGCAGGAGCCCCTTGTTCTGTTCCCATAACTGCCTCTTGATCCATGTTCAAGTTCCAAGTGAGCACAATCAAGTAACCTGGAATTCCACTATTCTCAAGGCGATCCACAGTTCATCAGGGTCCACACAGTCGAGTGCCTTGGCATCGCCAGTGAGCCATCAGTCTCTGGTAGTCCGCTTTCAGCCAAGGTCCCTCTGACATTGCAGTGAGATCCCTTGTTCCACGTCCTCTTCTGAATCCAGCCTGAACCTCTGGCAGTTCCCTCTCAATGTATTGCTGCAATGTTTGTTGGGTGATCTTCAGCAAAATTTTACTTGCATGTGATATTAATGATATTATTCTAAAATTTGAGCATTCCGTTGGGTCACCTTTCTTTGCAGTAGATACAAATAGGAATCCCTTCCAGTCAGTTGGCCAAGTAGCTATCTTCCAAATTTCCTGACGTAGACTATGAGGGCTTCAATAGCTTATTGAAATAGTTTGATGGGAATTCCATCGATTCCTGAAGCCTTGCTTTTGGCTCATGCTTTCAGTGCAGGTTGAACTTCATCCTTCAGCACCATGACTTCTTGCTCATATGCTACCTCCTGACTTGGCGGGATGTTGACTAGTTCTTTTTGATGCAGTGACTCTATGTATTCCTTCCATCCTTTTTGGATGCTTCCTGCATCATTCAATGTTTTGCCCGAAGAAGCTTTCAATATTGCAACTCGGGATTTGACATTTTTCTCGAGTTCTTTCAGTGTAAGACATGCTGAGCGTGTTCGTCCTTTTTGGGTTTCTAACTCTAAGGCTACGTCCATTTTATTATAATAGTTTACTTTGTCTTCTTAAACTGCCCATAGAAAATTTCTGTTCAGCTCTCTGACTTCATCCTTCCTTCCATGTGCCTTAGCTACTCTACAATTAAGAGCAAGGTTTAGAGTCTCTTCTGACACTCACTCTGATCTTTTCTTTCTCTCCTCTTTCTCATGACCTCTTTCTCTCTTCTTCAGTGATGCTCTTGATGTCCTTCACAGCTCATCAGGTCTCTGTTAGCAGTTCAGCGAGTTTAATCTGCCCTTAAGGTGTTCTTGAAATTCAGGTGGGATAGACTCAAGGCTATAGTTTGTCTCTCATGGACTTGTTTTAATTTTCTTCAGCTTCAACCTGCACTTCCATGTGAACAGTTGCTGGTCTGTTCCATAGTCAGGCCCTGGCCTGGTTTGAGCTGCTGACACCCAGCTTCCCCAGGGTCTCTGCCCATGGACACAGGCAGTCCACCAGGGGACGTCCATGTGTAGTTTTGTTGAGACACACGTTTGTCCTGAAGAAGTCGTCAGTCTTGTAACGTTCTGTCATGTGCTCTCCAGTTAGTGTTATCAGCAACGCCATATTGTCTACCTGCTGTTCCTTCCTCTTTGTCTCCAACTTTTGCATTCCACTCATCAATAATTATCAATGCATTTGATCGCATGTTTAATCAATTTCAGACTGACGATGTTGACAGAATGTTTGAATTTGTCCGTTACTGGTTTTAGTGGTTGGTGTGTAAATTTGAATAATAGTTGGAATGATTTAATTTCCTTGTATGCTGATAGACATTATCCTATCACAGAGAAAACTTTATTTCAAGATTGACCTTAAAATGTCCGTTTTGAATTTGAATACAATGCCATTCCTCTTTATTATGCCATTCTTTTTTTCAATCGTTTTATTAGGGGCTCATACAACTCATCACAATCCATACATACATCAATTTCCATACATACATCAATTGGGTAAAGAACATTTGTACATTCATTGCCCTCATCATTCTCAAAACATTTGCTCTCCATGTAAGCTCGTGGCACCAGGTCCTCATTTTCTCCCCTCCTTCCACGCTCCCCCATCCCTCATGTACCCTTGATAATTTACAAATTATTATTTTGTCATATCTTGCCCTGTCCGACGTCTCCCTTTATTATGCCACTCTTATCATAGTAAACCATGCGGTTTTCTGATTCAAAATGGCCACTATCCGTCCGTTGCGGTCACTAACACCGAGGATATCAGTCTGTATGTGTTCCATTTCATTTTGGACAACTTCCAATCTCCCTAGATTCATACTGCACACATTCCAAGTTCTGATTGTCAGTACATTTTCATGGCTGTTTCTTCTTCTTTTGAGTCATGTCCTAGCAGCAGATGAAGGTCCCGAGGCTTTACTCCGTCGCCATCACTTTGAGAGAGCCGCTCCCTCGGGCATATTCCGTAGGCCTTCAGTACCCAACAGCATCCGATGCTAGGCAGAGGTTTATGGCATCTCATCCCGCTGAAGCGGGCAGCCCCGTCCTTCCTTGTCTGCTCAGTCTTGCAGCTCTGCTCAGTCTGGGTGACCCTGCTGGCATCTGAATACCAGTGACATCACCTCCAGCATCACAGCAACATCAAGCCACCAGAGTGTGACACACGGACAGACACATGGCACTAGGGGTTATCAAAGGTGAAAGGTGAGGTTGATACCGGGAGGTCAAAGGTGAACACGGACTACATGTCAACCTCAGGTGACCCCCTCAGTCACTCCCCTGCAAGGTCATCAAGTGGTGGGCAGATTTGGGAGCAAAGCCAGGAGCACATTTTCTGTGGGGTCAGGGGCAGGGGCTAGCCACAGCTTGGGCATGCTGCATGAGCAGCTGTGGGTGACCTGGCCAGCATTCCTGAACCACGGTCCTTGAGGGTGCAGGCGGAGGGGCTGGCTCTGCAGCAAACGGAGAGGGGGTACCTACAAGCCCAGCAGGAAGTCTGCCAGGCTGTGGTCAGGGGGGCAGGCGTGAGGCTGAGAGGAGGCACTGAACATGGGTGCCCTGCAGTGGCAGGACACAGAGGTCAATCGCCCATCCTTGCCCCAGGGTGGCACCAACCACTTTAGCTGGGCAAGTTGGCACCAGGTTTGGGGGATTCTGCCATGCTCCCACCATGGCGTTGGCCAGAAAAGCCATGACTTAACTTTGAAGTGGTTTGCTGGTGCGTGGGGGTGATGGGGCCCGGGAACATGGAATCTGCCTTTATTCAGGACTTCTGTGCCCTTCCAAAAGAGTGTTCTCAGAGCAGACCAAAGCCAGCCCAGCCACACAGACAGGGAACCGGGACTCTCCGCTTACCGTGCTCCTGGGGAGACAGCTTGCAGACATGGGGTCCGTAGAAAACCATCCTAACCGCCTAGCACAGTATGAGGCGGCAGTGGGGGGGTGGGGGGGCGGGCGGGACCTGGCCTGCAGGGATTGAGCCTGAAAGGAGTTCAGCAAGTCTGCCCCCCACAAGTCTGATGGTGGGGAGCAGGCAGAGGCTCAGAGGCACAGCCTGGACAGGGTCAGAGGAGCCACAGACCCATACTTGGGGGGCCTTGTTGGGGCCTGGGGTCCAAATGCTGTGTGGGCTGGGGCTAGGGACACGGGGTCAGGTAGCTGTCGATCGCGGTGAGAGCAGGGAAGCCTGGCACTGGAGGGCGGGTCCCTGGCTTCAAGTGGACCAGCCTGGGGGGGGGGCCTGCGGGCGTCAGCTACCAGGCTCTAGTGATGGGGGTCTAGGTTCAGAGGGGATTTCAGGGTCCCTGAGGCCCCAGGCCAGGGTCTGGTGTGTATGGGGGTACCAGGGAGGGCATGAAGCTGAGGGCAGTGCAGAGGGCACTGAACTCTGGTGAAGCAGGGAAGGTGTGCAGGTCTGGGAGACCACCCCAGCTTCTGTGTCCCACGTGGTCCCCAGTGGACTGAGGTTGGCCAGGTTGAGCTGGACGGGGACAGTGTCCTGAGTGAATATGGCTGCAGCTATGGAGCCACTCTGAGGCCACCAGGCAGTGCTACCTGCCCGCCTGCCTCCGCTGCTTCCTGGGAGCCGGCCCCGGGAGTGAGCCAGCTGGCTCTGCCCAGAGACAACCCTGCCTGCTGTGTCGCCAAGAAACGCGCCAGGGGAGCGGGGAGGGGAG